CAACTTTGACTCTTGACAATTGCTCGACAAATGATGCAATCATCGACAAGCTTTTAGGTACTCTTTCTTCTTCATMRCTAATGTTAAAAGGGAAGATATTTCATATGCGATGTTGTGCACATATAATTAACCTTATTGTGCAAGATGGATTTTCTATAGTTGGGAGAGCTATTGAAAATRTTASGGAYRRTGTTGCATTTTGGACAAACTCTCCTAAGAGAGTACAAGAATTTAAACTATGTGCACGACAATTAAGTGTCACTTGTGAAAAAGAATTAGTTCTTGATTGCAAGACTAGGTGGAATTCGGTATATCTTATGTTAAATGTTGCTTTGGAGTATAAGGACGTCTTTAGTCGTTTGAGCAAAAAGGARAGAAGTTATKTTTGTTTGCCTAGTGAAGATGAATGGGCAATGGCGTCAATTGTTTGTGAAAAGTTAAAGTTATTTTATCGTGTAACGGAAAAGTTTTCGGGGACATTATATCCTACGTCAAACATCTTTTTTCCGTTGATTTGTGAAATGAAAGTGTCTTTGTTGAGTTGGAGAAATTMTGTTCATGATGTTATTAGGCAAATGGCATCATTAATGTTGATCAAGTTCAACAAATATTGGAGTGTCATACATGAGGTTATGAGTATAGCAATTGTGTTAGATCCTAGATATAAGTTGAAGCTAATAATTTATTTTTTTCCGAAAATCTATGGTGGTGAGGCAAAAAGTGAGGTTATGAGGATACGTAACCTATGTGTCGAGTTGTTCGAAGATTATAAGAAGAAGTATGCCGACAAACCTTCACAAAAAGGACAATCAACCGCTAGTTCCTTAGATGGAGATGATTTCACTTCTGACAAACCTACATGGGAGATGGATTATGAGTCTATGATGTGTGATGATGACATCTTGACAACAAGTGAATTGGATGATTATTTGGCCGAAAAAGTTTCACCTAATGAAGACGGCTTTGATATCTTAATGTGGTRGAAATGCAATGGCTCCAAGTTTCCTATGCTCCAAAGAATTGCAAGAGACGTTTTAGCCATACCAATTTCTACGGTAGCTTCTGAATCCGCTTTTAANAAATGCAATGGCTCCAAGTTTCCTATGCTCCAAAGAATTGCAAGAGACGTTTTAGCCATACCAATTTCTACGGTAGCTTCTGAATCCGCTTTTAACATGAGCGGTAACAAAGTCACAAAACAACGTAGTCGACTACACCCACAAACAGTTGGAGCATTAATGTGCACTCAAAGTTGGTTACGGAAAGAACTTCAAGGTAAAAAATTATTTAAATTCTTAGTCATACAAGTAATTATATTTTTTTTCTAACTTGTCTTACTTTTTGTAGATAAAAAACATGGAGAGCCCCAAGCATTTGATGAAACAGTTGCATATGATGCGGATGTCGAGTAACAACTAACAAGTGGTTGTTTTATTTTTTTGATGGTAGATAGTATGGAAATTTACTTGATATGTTTTGGTTCTTTCGGATATTACTCGATGTACATRTAGTTTTAGTATGTTTGACGTTAACTTTGATAATATTAGTTTAAACGTTTTGGTCTTGTTTAAGTCTTATTTTAATATTAGTGTATTTCAATAAATAGTGATGTTTTATAATTTTTGGGTTTTAAAAAAAATCCCCGTTTCCCTGTTGGGGATCCCCGTTCCCCGTTGGGGACGGGGATGGGGATGTGATCATAATCCCCGGCGGGGACGGGGACGGGGACACATACGAGGATCGGGGACGGGGATGGGTATTGGGGTCCCCGCCCCATCCCCTCCCCATTACCATCCCTATGTCTGCGGATGTATTTTTCAAATTTACATATTTGGTCCCCGTAATTACGAACCTAGTTCAGAAACTTTTTACACTTTGACCTCTCTGTAAATCATGGACCGTCAATTGCAGACTTGTGGCTATTAAAAGAAACTTGTAACCATAAACACAACGGGAAAAAATTTGGTACAATAATTTAGAAAAACTTTTCTAAATCTAAAACTCAAAGTCAGATCCAATTAGACATTTAATTAAATTATAACACACCATAGGTGTTTAGGAATGTACCTTTTAGGACCTAGTGAAAAATCTGATGTGGCACTTAGAAACCAAACACGGTTTCCTCTACAGTTGATCCACACACGAACACGCATAGATCCTCCAACAGGTGCTAGCCCAAAACAACCATAAATTTAAATATGTGTATGTGGACTAATTAACTAAATTCAGATAATTGAATCCCCATTAACTGAATTGGCCTGACACCCTATTTATATATGCTGGCATCATAGTCACCCTATAACTTTAGATAAGGTTTGATATTTATCTGTAAATAATTATATAATTATCTAAAACTTCAAATAATTATGCTTATTTACAGATAATACCATTTAGTTATCATAAATACGTTTTAACACATATTCTATAATTATTCTTCAAGAATAATTACTTAAGTGTCAATCATGACTTTTGAGTTACTTTCAAATTGAAGGAAACGTATTCTTTGTGTGTGACCCTATAGGTTTACATACTCCTTAGCACTATTGATGTGTGACATGTGTCGTGGGCATATGATAACTTGCATTCTCCCACTTGAATATGACACAAAGTAACATAAATGATGATAAGCGTCTAGCAACATGTCATCTCCCTCAAGGCTATGTAAACGTGTTTTTCCTTTGAGCAGTCTTGATTGATTCAATATATGGTAGTTTCATTCCTCTATCCTTTTGCTTTACGATATTTTGTTTTGAAGTTAAGACATAAATCTATCTCATCCTTTAGAGTTCAAAGATTATGTTTCTCGATTCCAGCATATTTGATTCAGACATGTGCTATTAGTTTAACTAATCCACTTGTCTATGGCCATGTGAATCAAACTATGTTATCGAGGGGCCCAAAAATATCTCTCTCAAATTAGGAGGAGCAAATCCCATATTGCATGTACATGACTTATATACAATTTGTGTCATACCTAACATAGCCCTTATGATTACCCGGTTAAGGATAGCATTAAACTACATCAAAGTATAACACTCCTTCTATAGTAGGTATCAAAGTACATCTCAAGTCTGAGGATAGGAGCGTCCACCATTTCAGGACTCATTTTATTATGCCAATCTATGAGGTGATTCTGACTGTTGGTCTTGTCAAATACATGCCCCTTAGACAGGTGTATGTGACTTTGGTTGCACCCAGTACACTTCTAACTTAGATTTATGACCAAACTTCACAATGATCTTTACTTATTACCAGTCTCTTGGTAATAATCGATCAAGGACGGTTTTAAATAATATGATCATCATTTTTATTTAAGGATACTTAAACATGCTAATAATGAACACAAAAATGTTTAATGTAAATACTCATATCCAATATTCTAAAACAGATAAAAACATAATTGTTTTATGTTCAAATAATTTAAAGTTTACTAAAATTACAAATCAGACTAGTGTTTTGCAAAACCTCAAGCATATTGAATTGGTATGAGCATCATGCTTGCTTTGACTCATAGGCTTGGTTAAAGAGTCTGTTGGATTATCTTATGATCGAACTCTACATATTTTCATGTCACCTCGATCAAAGATCTCTCGAATTAGGTGGTATCATCTTAGAATATGCTTGGAGCGCTTATGTGACCTTGGTTCTTTCGCTTAAGCTATAACACCCTCATTGTCGCAATAAATATCGACAAAGTCACATATGCTAGGAACCACTCCTAGGCCTGCGATGAATTTCTTCATCCAAACAACTTTCTTCAAGGCGTCCGACGCTGCAATATACTCTGATTATGTAGTTGAGTATGCTATTGTACTTTGTTTGTAGCTCTTCCAGCTCACAACTTCTCCGTTTAATACAAACACATATATCCAAATTACACCACTACGATCTCGATGTTCAACCTTTTCTCGATTTTGTGTTTGCTTTTTGTTATCGATGTTCTACCCTCCTGCTACTCTCTCCCACCTCATCCCTGATAAACTAACAAACTACAATCTCTTCCATTAGTTTTACGCTTCCAAGTTCTTTTGCAGAGTGAAAACTGCAACATGGAAGTTTTTTTTTTGCAGGGACAATAATGTAATGTGGTGATGGTGTTCATGATGCAAATATTTGGCATTGGTGATGGTAGGAGAAGTTTATGATGAATACAATGGTGCAACAGGGGAATTGGGGCAAGAACACTGAGATCTTCTATAAATCTTGGGTTTAAAATTTACAAAGCATGTTACTTAAAAAAGGCTATTGAGAACAAACCAAACCAATTGTAGGCATCAAAATCCCTAACTTTTAATAGATTTTAAGTTTTTTTTTTTTCTCAAAATGCTTTCCAATCGTTCTTTATAGAAATTAAAATGCCCTATTCTGAATCGAATGTTCCTTAATTTGTTTGGTTGAATGTTTTTTAATATGTGGTTTTGTTTGTTTTCTTGAATTTGACTTGTAACCTCTTAATAGAAGTGAAATAAACTTATTCATCTTAAATCCTTAAGTTGTTGGTTGAATCTTCTTAATTTGTGATATGTTTGCTTTCTTGAATTTCACTTATGCCCTCAAGATTGAAGTGAAAAAGATTCGCTAATCCCAAATTCCGTTCAACAAGAAGAACAACCCAGGGTTGTGTTAGGGGGTAGGGTTCATTTTAAACTTTTAATAATATGACGTACGGGTTTTGTTATTAGCAGACGAGTTTTCATATTTTTTGTGAAAACCAGATGAAATGATAAAAAGATTTAACTGATTCTTTTAACAGATTTAGCCGGAAGGGTGAAAAGAGAAATGAAATGGAAGCCATGAGGATGAGAAAAATAGTTTTTAGAGATAAGGGGTCAAAATAGTTATAAACAACAAATTACAGGGACTAAAATCGTAGTTTACTCCACTAATTTTTGTGGATTTGATTTTGCTGGTCGGAAAAACCTTAATAATTGGTCATTACCTGTTGGACTGGTATTTATACACGAGATTTACAAAAAGTCAAAATCCCAGAAAATAATTTTTTTGTTGGGTCAAAAGTGATCATCCGACCTCCATTTTTAATCCATCGTAAATAATTAGGGGGATGTGCCCGTAATTCATTCTAGTGCATAAAGAATATATAAATTTCATTAGTCCCTGAATTTACACTCGGAGCTTTCTTTGGATTCTCATTTGTATGATTATGAGGTCTTGTTTTGAAGGGACTTGGAAGCATCAACGATGGAAATGGCATTCAAATTGTTGTTATATAATGTTAAAGAATTTGGTAACAGATTGTCTGGGAAAACGTGACATAACCTCGACGAACATGGCCATCACAAGTCATTCAAGAAACGGCCAACTTGACATTGCTCGCAAGTTGTTTGATGAAATGCCCCAACGAACGGTTGTATCCTGGAACACAATGATATCTGCGTATTCCAAATGTGGAAGATTTGAGGAAGGTCTTAATGTACTTTCATCGATGCATTTTAACAATGTGAAGTTGAACGAGACAACTTTTTGTTCTGGGTTGAGTGCTACTGCCCGTTTACCTTCGTATTATGCAGGCAAACAGCTTCATGGTCTAGTCTTGAGGAGTGCTTTGGAGAGTTTTCAACTTGTAGGGAGTGCGTTGTTATATTTTTATGCAAACTGCTATGAAATCGAAGAAGCTAGGCAGGTGTTTAATGATCTCCATGAAGGGAATGGATTGCTTTGGAGCTTGATGCTAGTGTGTTATGTTCAATGTAACTTGTTAGACGATGCATTGGATGTATTCAATAGAATGCCAGCTCGTGATATTGTTGCTTGGACTGCAGTGATGTCTGGGTTTTCAAAGAGGGATGGTGGTTTTGAGAAGTCTTTGGAACTGTTCTGTTTGATGAGAAGAAGGGGTGAAGCTGAGCCCAATGAGTTCACTTTGGATTGTGTGATAAGGGCTTGTGGTCGATTCGCTGCTTTGCTTGAGGGGAAGACTGTTCATGGCCTTGCAATTAAATATGGATTTGAGTTTGAACACTCAATTAGTGGTGCACTAATTGATTTTTATTGTTCTTGTAAATCAATTGATGATGGGAAAAGGGCTTACCTTGGAGTGTCAAATCCAAGCATGTCTGATTCAAATTCGTTAATTGAAGGCCTCCTAGGAGGTGGTAGGATTGAAGAAGCAGAGTTGGTATTTAATGGGTTAGTAAAAAAAAATCCAACTACATATAATTTGATGATCAAAGCCTATTCGTTGGCTGGTCGATTTGAGGATTCAGTCAAGTTGTTCCTCAAAATGCCACAAAAGGTTTTAGCTTCCATGAATACTATGATATCTGTATATTCTAGATATGGCAATCTGAATAAAGCCTTCGAGCTCTTTGAAGTAACGAAAGAAGAAAGAAATACTGTTACATGGAATTCAATGATTTCGGCTTACATCCACAACAATCAGCCTGAAAATGCACTGGAACTATATATATCCATGCACAAATTAAGCGTGGAAAAATCTAGGTCAACTTTCTCTAGCTTGTTTCATGCATGCTCATGCCTTGGGTCTCTTCGACAGGGGCAATTACTCCATGCACAATTGGCTAAGACGCCGTTAGCATCTAGTGTTTATGTAGGAACTGCCCTTGTGGATTTCTACTCCAAATGTGGGAGCGTGACTGATGCTCAATCATCTTTTATCAACATCCTGAATCCCAATGTAGCTGCATGGACTGCTCTGCTCAATGGATATGCACATCATGGGCTTTGCTCTGAGGCGATTTTACTTCTAGAGAATATGGTCAACCAAGGAATCAAACCAAATGAGGCAACTTTTGTTGGGGTTCTGTCTGCTTGTGCTCATGCAGGTTGGGTCAATGAGGGAATGAGGTACCTTCGTCTAATGAAGGAAATTTATGGCATAGAACTGACAATGGAACACTTTACATATGCAGTTGACCTTCTTGGTCAATCAGGTCATATTCAAGAAGCAGAAGAAATGATTAAGGAGATGCCATTTGAGCCAGACAGTGTTGTGTTGGGGGCATTACTGAAAGCATGTTGCTTATGGTTGGATGTGGAAGTAGGTGAAAGGGTTGCTCAGAAGATGGTCGATATGAACCCGAAGTCTATATTTGCCTACGTGATCATGTCTAACATATATTCTGGCATTGGAAGGTGGAAAGATAAAATTAAAGTGAGACAGATATTGAGAGATTTGGAAGTGAAGAAGGATCCTGGTTGTAGTTGGGTTGAGGTCGACAACAAAGTTTGTGTGTTCTCCGTAGAAGATAGATCACATCGATGTTATAACATAAAAAATTTACAAGTCTCAAGCACCTAAGAGCGAATATCTACTGTATCATGCAATCGGATAGTGTTTCCTATGCCAATAACAGCAGCTAACATGTATATAAAGTTCTGAACAAGTCAATGATTTGGATTCTTTACCATCTTCTGAGCTATCGAAGGTCATCTTTTATTACTAACTCAAATTGACAACGAGATTTTTTTTTTGCTTGTATTCTCTTTATGCTTTTATTCTTGTCCATTGCTTCATTTTTTGCTATGCATTTTTTATCTTTCTTTTATCTTTCTGTTTTATTCTATCTCAACCATAATCCCATATTGATGTTCTGTGCACAAAATTTTGTAATTCTTACCATTTGACAAGAGTTTTAGGTGGGTTTCCATTTCTCTTGTGTTTATCGGGAAGAAATTGCTCTCTTCCCCTTATTTTGGTTGGGTTCCTCTAGAAGTGGATATTACACAAAAACTGCTCAAGGGTTTTATTTGTAAAGCGAAGACTTTGCCTGGAAAGAACAATGCTAAAAGTCTTGTCACTTTGATCTGAAGTCTTCGTAAATTGATGGTATAATTTGCAAATAATTTAGTCTTATATGAAGCATGCCCCCACGTTTTTTCGCTGTACAGCTCCAGGACATAGCTATTCTACAACAGATATTTGGATGCATTGTTGCGATGGAGAAGAATTGTGAGTGATACTCTACTTTTTTACCGTCAAGGCTTCAGAAGCTGAGTTAATATAATAACCATGTGTCGGGTAAAGGTGAGCCTCAGAGCAACCAATGAGGTTTCTCCTTTCTGACTGGGAGGTCACTTGTTCTGTTCATGGAGATTAGCAAGTGAAAAGCCCGCACATGCAAAAACCTATGAGTGTAGGTGCATCAGGTAGCCCTCTATCTTCTAGGTTTATTTTCACCTGATTATTGGGTGCTTACTGCTTAGTATACATCTAACAATATGAGTCAGCTATATGTCAGCTTTCCCTTTTCATTTTTTAAATGGACAGTAGGCAAAGGGAGTCAACCTTGCATCGTACCTCTCTCTCTCTCTCTCTCTATATATATATATATATATTTATACATACACACAGACATATATATATATACATACATACATACAGACATACTTACATACAGCTGTGTGTGTGAGGGGCGGATGCAATAGCACCGGGGGGGGGGGGGGGAGGACCCGAGTTTTTAGTCAAAAACTCAAAAAAAAAAAAAATTATTAGGCTAATCCCAATCGAAACCGTTACCCTAACCAAAAAAATCTATTGAAATCAATCAAAAAAACCAAAAAAGTTGTTCGAAATCGACAAAAACACTAAAAAATCCCAAGAAATCAACCAAAAAACTTTAAAAACCCCTCGAAACGTTGTAATTAGGTTAAAAACATATCGGACGATTTTGCGGGCCTTTAGTCTACCTTAAAGGTGACTCCACTGAACAAAAATCCCTGATCCGCCACTGTGTGTGCATACCACAAAGCGTTAAGGGTGTTGATAAAATAGTGCATGCGATTGAGGTGATGGGCTTTGTGTCAATTTGGGGCTAGGGGATGCATGCAGAGCACCTTATGCTTTTAAAAAATTCTTCTCTGATGTTTTATGTTTAGTGCTGTGGTCCACAAGAGAAAACTGATTCCATCTCGTCATTTTGATTAATGATGCCATTTTGCTTTAAGCCTGTTCTTTCAAGATCAGCATGTTTCCTCAGTTTGTGCGTTTCTCTTTCAAGTGGATGGATCTTCAAGAAAAAAAACTAACTTTGTCATGAATTGCAAGAATTTCGATTCTGTAGGCATTTTGATGGGTCTCAAAAGTTGTATATAATTCCCCTAGTTAGCATCCTTTGTGGAAATCAACCATTGTATGTCATATGCAATCTATGCTCCTTTTTAACTTGATTATACAATCCCATGAAAGCTTAGCTTTTCATGTTGGTGCTTTTTGTTTCTGAGCTTTTTGTGTAGTCTGCAGACTGTAGTATTAACTTGTGATTCGTACTAAACTGAAACTGTAATTTAAGATAGACATCTTTATGTACCCATTTAGACGTGTATATTACTGATTGGTGGAACTATAGGTGTTAAAAGTAACAACTCTAATTTAATTAATCAACATGATTAGGAAAGCATTGTAGATTATGGGAATTTACTAACAAGGTCGACCAATGGAGGATCGGACTATTTGAAGTTCAAGTGAAATAATGAGATCATGAATATGGCCTAATGACTTAAAAATTACACTTAATTGAACCATGTAAAACACACAAAAAGTTATTAATATCATGCATCAGATTCTTGGAAATTGATAGCACGTTGAACTGATGCTGCTGAATTTATCCTCTAAGTTGTCTCTGCGCTTATCAAAGATCATGTGCATAACCTAATTGATCAAGAGTTAATTATCTGAGACTTTTTTCCATTAATGTTTTCATCTGTTGTAACCACTGCAATCTGCACATGTTTGCTGGTTTTCTTATCAACTTTTTCAACATCCCACTCTTGTGCAGGCTTTGGCTCCTCCATTACTCTGTTCCTGTATTTACAATACAACACCAGTTGCAATGCCCCTAGAGGGCATCCCACCAGATTTGGAGCCTGAAATCCCACATTAATTTCACAAATAAATCCTTTTTAAGTTGATCAAAACCTATGGAATCATGGGTTTGTATGGTACTAACCGCAATAAGAAGATCCCTGCCTAAAAGTCCATAAGCCATCCATAGTGCACTAGCAAGAAATGAGAAGAAAGACAAGCTAAATGGCATATACTCCACGCTTTTCGTTTCAATCACTTTCTTCTGCAACCAAAATTCAGACACCATTGGCGCACAAAAAACAACTTTCATCGATCTTTTTCATGCTTTTTTTGGCTTGTAAGTACTCACCATGACAACAAGAGGAGAACCGTACATGGCTACTGACGCTATAAGTCCCACACTTCCAACTAGTTCTTTTCTGGTATGATGATCATGGAATACATAAGTTGAGATGAGTGCAGTGATGGAGAAGATGATTATAACTGCAGTTGTCATGATCCCAGCCTTCAACTGCAATCCCACATCACAAAAATCAGTATGATTTTCTAACTGGTTAACAACACAAGTATCTTTCTTGCAATTGCATGCACTGTAGTTATTCAATTAACGAATACATAAAAACATACATACCTTTTGTTTACGTGAAGCAAACCATATGAAGATGATGATGAACGAGAGCTCAAGAAGGATACCGAGCCCATTAATGGTGATCATAGGGAAGTTCTCCCATTCATGACTTACAACAGGCAAGCCATACCAAGTGTACATCAAGCAATTCAACAGGGAAATGACATAAGGTACAGATGAGAACTCTTCTGTGCTTTTCTTCCTTATAACCCTTGCAAAAGTCCATCTTGCCAAGAAACAAAAAGACACAGTAAGTCGAAAATTTATCAAATTTTTCTCAAATAGTTTTTATTTATTATCATCATCATCATTCCAATCATATAAACACTGTTACTGTTATCTTACATGGGAGCAGCATAAAGTAGAAAGGAGGCAGCATTCCCTGCAACAAAAACACAACATTTTTCTTCCAAAATTAGTATATTTAGACTCATATGTTGATCCAAATAACAAAAGATAACAAAGAAAGTTATCTGGAAAGTATGGAAGAATACCCATTAATCCTACAGCCAAGTGCAACATGACAATCATGTTTACTTGTTGGATTCTTTTGGAAGATAAGCAAATGGTGTCAAGAAGAAAAGAGTGAGCGTAAGTCTAGGATTAACAACTTATGCTTTTGGACAATGTAGCATCCATTTGGGGGGCTATATATACTACCCATGAGAAGGCAACTTTATTTTGGTACCATTTTTGTGTTTTCAATTTTTTAGAGGCTGTTATTATATGGGAAAAAAGACGATAAACGGTCGTTATCAATTACCAAGCACCAAATGGAAGAAAATGTAAGACTTATTTCCTTTTATGTGGTACAATTATTCTATATTCGTTTTCGAGTGACTTCTTGTTGAAACCTGTGTTCTGAGTACTATTTATCTTTACCCTTTCTCCTTTATTTTCTCTCTCTGTTGAATGATCAAATAGTTCAATGAATAAGCATTTGGACCATTTGGGCGACCATAAGCTAGCTTACTGAAAAGCCCCATTTGATGAACCATAAACTACTTCGAGTAGCGTTTTAATAAGCTTCGATTGTTTTCCATGTACATGCCCCTTGCGACTAAAAACCTTATTTTTGAAGTCATTTTACATTGTCATCAAACTTATAAACTAGTGGATTTTTAAGTAACGACTAACGTATGAGCTAGTTTGTCAAACATAACCTTAGTGATTGAAAAATTGTTTTACTTTTTTTAATTAGAAAAGCAGACAACCTGGATGAAAGAGATTTTGTTTCTGTGGATGGAAATGATATGAGTCACAAGTGCATGAGCATTTTGGTTTGTATTTTTTTAGTTAGAGAAATTTGATTGTGATAACTTTAAATTTGGGAATTTCTTAATTTGAGTCTTTTCTTACGAATTTTTTAGGGTTTTCATATTGAGTGGAAGATGCCTCAAAGATCTCCACTACCCAGTGATTTAAAATTCTCTAAGGTGCTTGTTTGGTTTCTAGATGGTGAAAATTTAACACAAATCCTTATATTAAAAAGCAACATTTGAGGGGTTAGATTCGGGTGAGAAGAGAAGTTATGATGATAAGCATAAGACGAGATTTGCATCATTAGATCAATCATGATTGAATGTCAACAATAAGAGCATCTCCAACAGCTTCTCTAAAATATAAAAAAAACAAGTTTTTGTTTTTTAAAATGCCCCAACAGCTTTTTTTGTTCTCTAAAAGAGAATCATAGAAAAAACTCTAAATGTAGAAAATTCTCTAAAACTTGATGTTGGAAGAAGGAAATGATTGTTTTATTTAATTCAACAATTGAGATTGAGTTATTATTCTTTTGTAAGAAGTTTTTTCTGAAAAGTGTGCTGAGATGATACATTAGAGAATATTATAATAATATAATTTGTGTTAAAATCTCTAAAATAGAGAATTTGTAGGAGATGAATGAAATTACTTTTAAAAAATTTATATTTTGATTCTCTATTTTAGAAAAATTATCTAAAAGCCGTTGAAGATGCACCAAATTAATTCTCTTCTAAAGTGCAATTTATGGGTGGGTTTGAGATTAAAAATGATTAAGGGTTCAGATATTTTCTTACGTTTCTCACTATAACTTCATTTCTCACACGATTCTTTGCCAAATTTGAGAGTTGGGTTCCAGTGAGAAGAAAAATTATGGTTATAATAGTAAGAAGAGATCTGTACACTTCGGATCAATCCTAATTGAAGATCAACACTAGCGAGATGCACATAAATGCACCGGATCAATTACTTTCTAAAACACAACTCATGAATATAAATGAGATTAAAAGTGATCAAGGGTAGAGATTCATCTTTACGCTTCTCATCTTAACTCTTGATCTCACTCGATCCATCGTCTATAATATATATATATATATATATATATATATATATATATATACACTATCTTATAAAGCATTTGGTAAAACTCTTAAAAACTCTTAAACTCTTAAAAACTCTTAAAAACTCTTAAACCCGTTCATCCTTATCCGATTTCATCCCATATCTGAATTCGTGTAACTAACTGCAGATAAACACAATCAAATACAG